TTACCCCACTGCTTACTTAATTTCTTTTACCTATGAAATTTATCAGTAGGAGCATGTGTTGTATATGAGGTTTGTGTGTCTAGGCTTCTATTGACTTTTCAGAAATATTTTTATTTGTTACCTTTTTTAACTTCTATTTTAGTTTCAGGGGTACATGTGCAGGTTTGTTGCATAGGTAGATTGTGTGGCATGGGGGTTTGATGTACAGACTATTTAATCACCCAGGTAATAAGCATAGTACCCATTCATTATTTTTCCTGATCCTCTCCCTCCTCCCGCTCTCCACCCTCAAGTAGGTGCTGGTGTCTGTTATTCCTTTCTTTGTGTCCATGTGTACTCAGTGTTCAGCTCCCATTTATAAGTGAGAACATACGATATTTGCTTTTCTCTTCCTGCATCAGTTTGCTTAGGATAATTGCTTCCAGCTCCGTCCACATTGTTACAAAGGACATGATCTCAGTCTTTCTTATGGTTGTGTAATAGTCTATTGTGCATACATACCACATTTTCTTTATCCAGTCTACCGTTGATGGGCATTTAGGTTGATGCTATGTCTTTGCTATTGTGGACAATGCTGTCATGAACGTGAGTGCACCTGCCTTTATAGCAGAATGATTTCCATTCCTGTGGGTATATACCCAATAATGGGACTGTTGGGTTGCATGGTAGTTCTGATTTATGTTCTTTGAGAAATCACCGAACTGCTTTCCACAATGGCTGAACTAATTTGCACTCCCACCAACAGTGTACAAATGTCCCGCTTTCTCCTCAACTTTGCTAGCATCTGTTATTTATGTATGTATGTATTTATTTATTTACTTTTTAGCAATACCATTCTAACTGATGAGAGAGGTATCTCATTATGGTTTTTATTTGCATTTCTCTATTGATTAATGATGAGTTTTTTTCATATGTTTGTTGGTCGCATGTACGTCTTACGAAAAATGTCTGCTGAAGTACTTTGCCAACTTTTTAATTTGGTTTTTCATTTTTTGCTTGTTAATTTGTTTAAGTTCCTTATAGATGCTGGACATTAGACCATTGTTAGATTCATAGTTTGCAAATATTCTCTCCCATTCTATAGGTTATCTGTTTACTCTATTGATAGTTTCTTTTGCTGTGCAGAAGCTCTTTAGTTTAATTAAGTCCCATTTGTCAATTTTTGTTTTTGTTTTTGTTGCAATTGCTTTCGGCACCTTTATCATGAAATCTTTGCCAGGGCCTATGTCCAGAAAGGTATTTCACAGGTTATCTTTTAGAGATTTTACAGTTTTAGGTTTTTACATTTAAGTCTTTAATCCATCTTGAGTTGACTTTTGTAGACGGTGTAAGGAAGGGATCCAGTTTCAATCTTCTGCCATGTGGCTAGCCAGTTATCCCAGCACCATTTAAAAATGTTTTTAGTATAATATTTGTTTTGTTGGTTTGTTGTTTTTATTTTTTAACTTTTATTTTCAGTTCAGGCGTACAAGTGCATGTTTGTTACATGGGTAAACTCATGTCACAGGGGTTTGTTGTATAGATTATTTTGTCACCCAAGTATTAAGCCTAGTACCCATTAGTTATTTTTTCTGATCCTTTCCCTTCTCCCACCCTCCACCCTCCAGTAGGCCCCAGTGTCTGTTTACCTCTATGTGCCCATGTGTTCTCATCATTGAGCTCCTATTTATAAGTAAGAACACACAATATTTGGTTTTCTGTTTCTGCATTAGTTTGCTAAGAGTAATGGCCTTCAGCTCCATCCATGTTCTCTCAAATGATATGATCTCATTCTTTTTTTGTGGTTTGATAGTATTCCATAGTCTATATGTACCACATTGTCTTTATCCAGTCAACTATTGATGGCATTTAAGTTGATTCCATGTCTTTGCTATTGTGAATCATGCTGCAATGAACATACATGAGAATGTGTCCTTATGGTAGAATAATTTGCATTCCTTTGGGTATATATCCAGTAATGGGATTGCTAGGTTGAATGGTAGTTCTGCTTTTAGGTCTTTGAGGAATCATCACACTGTTTTCCACAATAATTGAACCAACTTACACTCTCACCAACAGTGTATAAGGGTTCCTTTTTCTCCATAATCTAGCTAGCATTTTTTTTTTACTTTTTGATGTAGCCATTCTGACTGGTATGAGATGGTATCTCATTGTGGTTTTGATTGACATTTCTCCCATCCAAGTACCAACCAGGCCTGACCCTGCTTAGCTTCCGAGATCAGACAAGATTGGTTGGGTTCAGGGTGGTATGGCCATAGATTGATTTGCATTTCTCTAATGATCCATGATGTTGAACTTTTAAAAATATGTATGTCTCTTGGAAAGTGTCTGTTTTAGTCCTTTGCCCACTTTTTTATGGAGATGTTTGTTTTTTCTTGTAAACTTAAGTTCTTTATAGATGCTAGATATTAGACCTTTGTCAGATGAGTAGTTTGCAAATATTTTCTCCCATGCTATAAGTTGACTACTTTGTTGATAGTTTCTTTTGCTGTGCAGAAGCTCTTTAGTTCAATTGGATCTCGTTTATCAATTTTCACAACTGCTTTAGAAGTCTTCATCATGAAATCTTTGCCATTTCTTACGTCCAGAATGGTATTGCTCAGGTTGTCCTCCAGGGATTTTGTAGTTTGGGGTTTACATTTAAGTCTTTAATCCATCTTGAGTTGGTCTTTGTATATGATGTAAGGAAGGGGTCCAGTTTCAATTTTCTGCATATAGCTAGTCAGTTCTCCCAGTACCCTTTATTGAATAAGGAGTCCTAAATCTTTTCCCCGTTGCCTGTTTTTGTCAGTGTTGTCAAAGATTAGATGGTGGTAAGTGTGCAGGCTTCTGTCTGGGCTCTCTATTCTGTTTCATTTGTCTGTGGGCCTGTTTTTGTACCTGTACCATGCTGTTTTGGTTCCTGAAGCTCTGTGGTATAGTTTGAAGTTGGGTAGCATAATGCCTCCAGTTTTCTTCTTTTTGCTTATAATTGCCTTGGCTTTTTGGGCTCTATTTTGATTCCACATGAATTTTAAAATAGTTTTTTTCTAGTTCTGTGAAGACTATCATTCGTAGTTGATAATAATAGCACTGAATCTATAAATTGCTTTGGGCAGTATGGCCATTTTAATGATATGCATTCTTCCTATCCATGAGTATGGAATATTTTTCCATTTGTCTGTGTCATCTCTGATATCTTTGAGCAATGTTTTCTAGTTCTCCTTGCAGAGATCTTTCACCTCCCTGTAAGCTGTATTCCTAGGTATTTTTTTCTTTTTGTGACAATTGTGAATGAGATTGTGTTCCTGATTTGGCCTTTAGCTTGACTGTTGTTGGTGTGTAGGAACGCTAGTGATTTTTGCACATTGATTTTATATCCTGAGATTTCACCGAAGTTGTTTATCAGCTTAAGTAGCTTTTGAGTTGAGACTATGGAGTTTTCTAGATACAGAATTATGTCACCTGGAAATAAAGATAGTTTGACTTCTTTTCCTATTTGGATGCCATTTATTTCTTTCTCTTGACTGACTGCTCTGGCCAGGACTTTCAGTACTATGTTGAATAGGAGTGGTGAGAGAGGGCATCCTTGTCTTGTGCCAGTTTTTAAGGGAACACTTCCAGCTTTTGCCCATCCAGCATGATGTTAGATGTGGGTTTGTCATAGATGGTTTTTATTTTCAGCTATGTTCCTTCAATACCTACTTTATTGAGAGTTTTTAACATAAACGGGTGCTAAATTTTATCGAAAGCTTTTCGGCATCTATTGAGGTGATCATGTGGCTTTTGTCTTTAGTTATGTTTATGTGATGAATCACGTTTATTGATTTGCATATGTTGAACGAAACTTGCATCCAAGAAATAAGGCCTACTTGATTGTGGTGGATATACTTTTTGATGTGCTGCTGGATTTAGTTTGCCAGTATTTTGGTGAGGATTTTTGCACTGATGTTCATCAAGGACATTGGTCTTAAGTTTTCTTTTTGTGTTCCCAGCATCATTTGTTGAATAGGGAATTTTTTCCCTGTTGCTTGTTTTTGTCTACTTTGTCAAAGATCAGATGGTTGTAGGTATGCTGCTTTATTTCAGGACTCTCTTATTTTTATCCATTACTTTATAAGTATTAGAATTATTGAACTATTCAAAAACCGCTATCTTATTTTGTTGCAGTACTGAAAATAATGTAAGATAAGTGGTGCTCTCCCTGTTTTGAAGATGAGTGACTAGGATTATAAAGAATTCACTGATTTGTTTTATTTTCTTGCGTCCACTACATCAACAAACTTAAAGTAATGTAACGTATTTCATGCCCTCCACCAAGTTTCCAGTCATAAATGTCTCCATATTCCTCTTATTCCTACCAGTATTGCCCATGCATAATAACTTAAATAATGACAGCCGTCAGCATTTATAATAAAGTAGGAATTTTGTTTATGATTTAGATTTCTAGATATAAATTTTAAAGCCCAAGTTTTATTAAGACTAATTAAGAGGGAAAGTATTATACTTCACAATAATTTAAAATATTCTTGTCTTACACATGCCAATTATTACTGATTTCCAAGTTAATTAAATATAGAATTGATACATATTTCTCTCTCTCTCTCTCTCTCACACACACACACACACACACACACACATGCTAGATTCTAGCATTTTAGTCATCATAAGTATGTCTTTCAGGACTTTAGAAATAACCATATAGAATATAATTTTTTTAAAGTGCTCTCAGGATATCTAAAGTACTATTTTTACATTTTGGTCTCAGAATGCAATAGCTTCATTATTTTGCTTAGAAATTCATTGCTTAGTTTTTGCATCTATATGAAGGATGTCATAGGCTCCATCTATAATAAGCAGCTTATCCAGTATGTTAATTTTTTAAATGTTGCTAAAAAAAAAAAAAAAAAAAAGGAACTCTGTATATTTTGGAGGTTGCAGTGAGCCAAGACCACGCCACTGCACTCCAGCCTGACAACGGAGCAAGACTCTGTCTAAAAAAAAAAAAAAAAGAGGCTGCCTTCTTCTGATAAACCCCAGACTTTAATAACATGTCCTCTGAATTAATTCTGTAAATGCAGTACTAAAGTTTAGCACAACGATCTGGGCTGTTTAATTAGCTCACAGCTGCACTGCTGGGATAACATTTCTTGTTGAGGAGGTAGCTTGATATTCATTATTTGGGCTCTGGTTCAGAGTTCAATGGTCGTTTTAAGCTTTCTTAAAGAATTGCTTGTCTTTGTTTTCAGGGAAGACCATAATCATTACTTAGAAACACTTGTTAGTTTTCTTGCTGTGCCTGTAGAGTCATTGATTTGACCCTAACATAACAAATTGTGGCAATCTTCCAGACATTGAAGGATCCTATAAGAAAAAAAGTTATCTGAATTATTAGTTTGACTAATATATGTCACATCGATAGAGTCTAAATCTCAATTTCTTTACTATTTCAAAATTCTTTAAATTTTTAAAATCTCCTTTAAATTATGAATATGGATAAAATTTAAAAATTCCCTTTGAGGCTGTATAAATTATAAGTATGTTTTCTACATTTTTCAGTATATTATATTATTTTTATATATACTAGAGAATATTAAGACAATATCAAATGTGGCAGATTATGTGAGTAAATAATGAATTTAAACACCTATTTACTGAGTATTTATCGCGAAAAACTACATTAATTTCATCCTCACAAGAACCTTAGAAGATTATCCTCATTTTATACAGACAGGAACTAAAAAATCAGAGCAGTTAAGGAACTTGCCCAAGATCACATAGCTGATAAATTTCAGAACTGGAGTTGGAATCCTTACATCAAATTTCAGAATCTTTCTAACATTCATGTTGCCTCCTTCTCAAAGATAAGTTTCAGATTCATCTTTCTCATAATATTCTTTCCAATTAACTTGAATTCCTTCAGCATGAATTGATACAGCATGTATTATTACACTGTCACATATTTATGTTTTTCTTTGGACTTCTTTCTCTTGCTGTTTCACGACTTGTCAGCACTACTAGATGTATATGTTCCCTAAGTCCAGACACTGTATGCTATATCCTCTACTTCCTTTTATGTCCCCACAGCAAGAACCACACTGAAAAAATAACAACTTTTTACCATGGTTATGTTGGGATATGATTACAGGGATCGTTCACTTTTTACACTATATATATCTATATTGTTTGAATTAGAAAAAAAACACACGTACATACATACATACAGATAATTATCGATACCTAATATTTAAAAATTTAATGATAAATGTCCAATGCAAAAGAAAACAAACACAAGGAATATATACACATTTATATAATATACCTAGTTTTACCATTTGAATTCTTGCAGACTAAAAACAAAAGAGTTAAATGAGGGAGGCATCTTAGTATTTTTCTATTTATAATAGTAATGGAAAAGGTTCTAAAAATCTGGGAGAAATGTCTAAGACACAGAACTAAGAAAAATATGAGGATATTAAGTGCCCAACACTTCATTTTTAGAGACACAAAAAGGAATGATTAAGGAGAATGAGAATTTAGATCACTGTTGGAAAGCGATGCAAAATGTACATGTAAACATGTATGCAAAACAAGCATTAAAACAATAATATAGGCCGGGCATGGTGGCTCACACCTGTAATCCCAGCACTTTGGGAGGCCGAGGCAGGTGGATCATGAGGTCAAGAGATGGAGACCCTCCTGGCCAACACGGTAAAACCATGTCTCCACTAAAAATACAGAAATTAACTGGGCAAGGTGGTGTGCACCTAGTCGAGAGGCTGAGGCAGGAGATTCACTTGAACCTGGGAGGCAGAGGTTGCAGTGAGCCCTGATTGCGTCTAAAAAAAAAATAGTATAGTGAGAAAATCAAAGAACTAAAAACATAATTTTTAGTTAGATTAGGGCCACCCTCCAAAATGTTAACACAAATACAGAAGGTATGTATTTGTATCAGTAACAGCCCAAAGAGAACTTATTATGATCAAATCGAAATGATTAAGTCTTCATTCTTTTTGATAGATTATTTAGGTAGAAGTGTTCTTGAAGTCCTATAAACAAGGCTCTATTGAGAAAAGCAATTGTGCTTGGTAAACTTTGTATTTGATAGTACAGTGACTTTCTATAGCTTACATTCAAGCAAGGCATTTGAGAAATGTGTACTTTTTAAAAAACAAATTAGTTGAATAAAATAAGAAATGAAACTGATAATAGAAAAATACATTTAACTCTTAATGCTGTGATTGTGATTAAGGATAGCAAAGCATTACAAATCAGCTAGAACTTGGAACTGCAAAAGCCAGAAATTCAGCAGAGTTGAGAATTTTGACAAGGTAAGGGAATCAGTCATCAGGACTTTTTCTTTTTTCAGAAACAGGCATAAATAAAGTTCAAGATGAGCCAATGAGGTCAGAAACTAAGCAACAAGCAAGCAGAAGTGAGTATAAATAGACGTGAGAAGTAAGTCTAATCATTGGGCCAGAAATTGGGCAAGCAAGGAGAAGAATAAGAGGGCAGTTATTGGAGTTCAGGGCAAATAATGTGGACCTGGGGCACACAGTCTCCAAAAGAGGAAAGGAAGTAAATGGTCAGAACCTGGCAGGTGGTTGGGAACCAGGAAATTCACAATGGGTAGAGTAAGTTGGACAACTTAATTCTGTGACAAGCTGTCTCCAGAAGTTTCTCCATTATTAAAATAAAGAAATGTCATGAAGAAATCAGCATTTGTAGGTCTTGAGAGTAGAAATAGGAAGACACATCTGACCAGACATAGCTCATTGCCAGGTTTTCATCGTGTTAATCATTCAGCAGTTTTAAGTATAAAATTTTAAAATTGGTTCTCCATCCTTTTCTCTACCTCAAGTATGTCCTTACCTGTCACATCAGCCCTCTTCCTGGAAAACTACCTAAGCTGTGTTTCGTGTGTCTGTGATCTGCAATTGCTTCATGTCTTCAAATTTGCTCATGTGCTTATTCCTACTCTGATTTCATTTGCCTGCCTATTTGGTTAGGTCCTCAAGCTCAGTTCAATGAGATATTTTTCTTGAACAACTGATTTCAACTATAATGCAATGAATACTCCACACCTGTTCCTCAACAACATCTGAAGCAAGAGTCTTTAACTTTCTGGGACCTTTGAACTCTTCTGAGAGTTTTCAGAAGAGCCCAGCAAAGCCTTCAACTGCCTATCAATGAAATTTTAGTCTGCTACTGTTAAAATCTTAAATCTCTATCTGAGTAAAAGGTTCTCTCCCCCATCACCGTCTGTGTGTATTGAGGGGTGGAGAGTGCTCATTCAGTATCTGCACTTTTACTCCCCTCCCCTTTCCCATCTGCAAGCTGTGGCTCTTCCAGTGTCGAGGGGAGGGAGGGTGGAGAAGAAAAGGGGAGTCCCTTTGCTTGACTAGACTCTATCGAAATCCCCTCTGGCTGTCAATGCTTTTAATGTGGCAGGCAACCAAACACTGACTTTTTTCTAGGTCTATGTGGGAGTTTTTGGAAGAGCCCAGCAAAGCCTTCTACTGCTGTCTCCTATTGTATGAGATAGGCTTCTTAACAACGTCTTGTTCCTCATTCTAACTCTCTTCTCTGGAGCTGCACCCTGTAGTCTCCTGATAGGTGCTCTCACCTAGCTGGCAGCTAACTTCCCAGCTGTCTTACAAGAAAACTTAAGCATCTACGCCAAGCCACATGGTGGGGATGAAAAGATTACTCTCCTTCCACTCTTCTTCTCACTCTGGCTTCCCTCTCCATTTCTCTTTACTCTCCTAAATTAAAAACAGGTATTGGTCAGCACATCTGCTGCCTCTATAGACATCCAACAGGGTATGCAGAAACTTCAAATGTTTATGAAAAGGAGTGACTCTCTTGGGAACTCTGCTCTTTTTTTTTTTTTTGATACAGAGTTTCGCTCTTGTCGCCCAGGCTGGAGTGCAGTGGCACAATCTTGGCTCACTGCAACCTCCGCCTCCTGGGTTCTCTTGCCTCAGTCTCCCAGGTACCTGGGATTATAGGCATGTGCCACCATGCCCGGCTGATTTTTTGTATTTTTAGTAGAGACAGGGTTTCCCCATGTTGGGCAGGCTGGTCTCGAACTCCTGACCAGCCTGAGGTGATCCTGAGGTGATCCACCCACCTCGGCTTCCCAAAGTGCTGGGATGGGAACTCTGCTCTTCCGGTTTGTGAGAAGTTTGTTCTTAATGTTCTTCTGAAAATGTTAAATTAACCTTCACTCCTATATGATATTTTACCTCAATACACATTCTGGGAGAGTTATTGTATTAGTCCATTTTCATGTTGCTGATAAAGACATACCCAAGCCTGAGCAATTTACAAAACAAAGAGATTTATTGGACTTACAGTTCCACATGGCTGGGGAGGCCTCACAATCATGGTGGAAGGCAAGGAGGAGCAAGTTAATCTTGTGTGGATGGCGGCACTCAAAGAGAGGGCTTTTGTAGAGAAACTCCCGTTTTTTAAAACCATCAGATCTCATGAGACCCATTCATTATCACAAGAACAGTACAGGAAAGACCCGCCCCCACGATTCAATTACCTCCTACGGGGTTCCTATCACAAGAACAGTACAGGACAGACCCGCCCCCATGATTCAATTACTTCCTACGGGGTTCCTCCCAGGACATGTGGGAATTGTGGGAGTTACAATGCAAGATGAGATTTGGGTGGGGACACAGTCAAACCATATCAGTTATTTCCCTAAGAACTTTAAAGATGTTATTCGTTTTTCTCTTGGCCCATCTACAATTGCCAATACAAAGGTGGCTGTCAGGTGAAATTGTTTTTGTTTGTTTGTTTTATCCTCTCTGATTGCTGCTGAGACTTCTCTTTGTCTTTTGGTGTCATGAAGTTTCTCAGGGACAATGACTAGGGTAGATTTATTTTATGTCTTTTGTTTTTGGTACCTCTTTCCCAAAGTCTTGGGAAGAAGATGGGATTCCTTGATGCTTTTCTGACACTTTCTGAGGTAGGTGAGTTGGTAGGAAGTAGTACCAGCATACCACTGGCAATAAAGCAGGATTCTGGCTTTATGTGGTGTCATGGTCCATTTGGGCTGCTACAACAAAGTACCATAGACTGGGTAGCTCATAAATAATAGAAACTTACTTCTCATAGTTTTGGAGGCTGGGAAGTGAAAGATCTAGGTGGAGGCAGTTTCGGTGTCTGGTGAGGGCTCACTTCCAGGTATCATAGATGGTGCCTTATAGCTGTGTCCTCACATGATACAAGGGGCAGAATAATTTCCTTGAGTCTACTATATTTTAAAAGGGTACTAACTCCATTTATGCGGACTCTGCCTTATCTCCTAAAAGTTTTCACCTCCTCATCCTATTACCTTAGTGGTCAGG